AGAAGAGAAGAGAAGAGAAGAGAAGAGAAGAGAAGAGAAGAGAAGAGGAGAAGTAGAAATTTCTCTTTACTTCTGCCCAGTTCCTGAGATACACATGCAAAGAAATCTTCTAAGCTGAGCCAAGCTGTCAATAGCAGAAGGTATTTCAGGCTCAGAAGACAGAATGTAAGTTCTCTCATGACAAAGGACCCTAGTAGGTCACATGGGCATTCTGTTAAAGCTCACGAAGAGCCACAGCCCAGAGAGGAATGACACAATTACGGAATGAGGGCCTTGCAGGAGGTGAAGAGGGACTGAAGGGGACAACGTCTCACAAAGTCTAAAACCAGGCCATGTGCTCATTGCTTACCCCCGGCAGAAACAAATTCCATTTTCTTTATATAAAAATAAGATATCCAAAAGTTTCTGAAGTTCACATTTACAGTGTTCAGTATTACATCAAAATTTAAAAGGCACACTAAAAATAATGACCAAGTAACTGCAAACTAAGAGAAAAAATAGGTAGACTCCAAAACTCAGATGTAAATCATATTCTGGAGTTAATTTATCAGGGCTAGAAGTGTGTGATTATTAAATTCAAGAAAACACAGGAAGCATGAAAAGCTTAAAGGAAGTTCATTTTATAGTATTATAGAATCTATTTTAAACACTTCAAATTCTAATCGTAACTAAGGATCAAAAATTCTTTGAAAGTATATAAGATCTTACTGGACCACTAGAAGACAACATATTGAATTTCAGAACAAGCCCTGAAACCAGGCTTGTTCTGAAACCAGAACAAGCAACCAGGTGGTGTTGGCGCATGCCTTTAATCCCAGCACTTGGGAGGCAGTGGCAGGCAGATCTCTGTGAGTTCGAGACCTGACTGGTCTACAAAGCGAATTCCAGGACAGCCAAGAGTGTTATCCAGAGAACCTCTGTCTCGAAAACAAAAACAATAAAAACAAAAGAAAAAGGCCTTGATACCCAACAAATATATTCTTTAGAAATAAAGCCATTACCATTTTAAAAAGTTTTTTTTTGGAATCTGTGTACCAAACAACACATTAAGCAATCCCAGATGAAAGCATGAAACTTCACAGAGGAAGGAATGAAAATTGTCCTTGAATCTCCAATAGCTTATTCTATTTATCATAGAAGTCTTGCCTATCATTGGTACCTACCTTTCCCCTCGGATTTGATATTTTCTGGTATTTCTACAAAAGATGTTACCCTTAAAAATGATGTTTTCTAGTTGCTTTTTGTGGAGAATGCAAGTGTCTTTTTCACCTTCCTGTTCCTCCCCTCTATGCCAGATCCACTCCTCCTCTGTTTCCTTTCAGAAAAAGGGTAGGCTTCCCAGGGATATCAAGCAACTATGGCATGTCAAGTTACAATAAAACTAGGCACACCCTCTTATATTAAGGGCGGATGAGGCAACACAGTAGAAGGAAAAGGGTCCCAAAGGCAGGCATAAGAGTCAGAAGCAACTCCCACTACCACTGTTAGGAGTCCCACAAGATCACCAAGATAAACAATCATAACATATATGCAGAGGACCTAACTCAGACCCACACAGGCTCCCTGAGGCTCACTTCAGTCTCTGTGAGCCCCTACGAGCCCTGTTTAGTTGATTCTGTGGGGCTGTATTCTTGTGGGGCTCTTCGCCCCTTTGACTCCTACAATCTACCTGCCTGCCTTCTGCAGGATGCCCCGAGCTGCACATAATGTTTGGCCATGGTTCTCTGCATCTGCTGCCATCAGTTGCTGGATGAAACCTATCTGAGAATGACTGTGCCATACTCCCATCTGTGAGTATGGCAGCGTATCATTAGGAATCATGTTGTTGACGTTGCCCCCCGCCCCGTCCTGCCCTGTTGTGTTTGGTTTTATCCTAGGTCTCTGGCCTATCTAGATTCTGGTTCCAGGCCCTCTAGGCAGTGCCAGGCATGGGCTCCTTCTCATGGCATGGGTCTCAAGTTGGACAGGCACTGAGATGGCCACTCCCACAGTTCTATGTCACCTTTCTCTTGGCACATCTGGTAGGTGGGACAGATTGCAGAGCGAAAGTTGGTGTCTCAACCCCTGCCCTGGAAGCCTTGCCTGGTTGTAGAAGATGGATGGATAAGGCCCATGGATTCTTGGCAGTTTCCATTGCACCTCATCCCTGAAATGTGCCCCAATTCCAGTCTCTCTTAATACTCTCTCCCTCCACCCCATGACCTGATCCCTTCTTCCCAGGGAATCCATGTGTCATCCCTCCCCTTGAGACTTCCTTATTAGTCTCTGGGCCTGTGGATTGTAGCATGGTTTCCTTTACAGCGAATGCCCACTTATAAGTGAATACAGACCATGTTTGCCTTTCTGGGTCTGGGTTATGTCACACAGGACTTTTTTTCTAGTTCCATTCATTTGCAAATTTCATGGTGTTCTTCTTTTTAACAACTGAGTAATATTCCATTGATTAACAATTTTATTTTTATTTTATGTGTACTGGTGATTCGCTCACGTATGTATGTATGTATGTATGTATGTCTATCATGTGCTTGCATGATATCTGGGGAGTTCTGAAGAGGAAGTCAGATTCCCTGGAACTGGAGTTCTGGATGGTTCTTAGCTACCTTTTGGGTGCTGGGAACTCAACCCGTATCCTCTGCAAGACTAACAAGTAGTTTTAACCACTGAGAGATCTCTCCAGTCCACAATTTTTCTAAGAAAAGAAATATACCCTCTGCCAAAAAAGAAAAAAGAAGGCATTTATTTTATCTCCTCTTTTTCATTCATTAAGCACCTAATTTCTTTTTTCCCCTTATTTACTGGTAATCTTTAGTTTATAGGATGAATTATGTTTATAGCTTTTCTAATATTAAATTATCATGTACCATTGGATTTGTTCAGTGTGCTAAATTAAAGAAACTATTAAAATAAATTTATTAAAATACTGTTGAGCTGTGATCTCTCTCTCTCTCTCTCTCTCTCTCTCTCTCTCATTTTAGTCCTTTATTATTTTTGGTGTAAAGTCTGTAATCTTCATGCTATCTGATAATAGTAACTGATGCTGTATTGAAATAAAAGCCCATAAGGGGGAGAGGGTTTATGTTGGCTCACAGTGGCTCATAGTTCCAGGGTACAGCTCATCACGGAGGAGAAGTTCAGGCACCAGACACTTGAGGCAGCTGAACAGAGAGCCATAAATGCTCCCCACGCTGCTCTGTTTCGTTTCTGTGCTTGCACAGTCCTGAATTCCGCCACCCACAGAGGCCTTACTTTCTCACCTCAGTCCACATCATCACGATGATCCTCACAGGCGTGCTGAGAGGCCCACATCCCGGGCTAGTCTGTATCTCATCAAGTTGACAACTGCTCTACTTATTCTTTCTTATATAAACATTTAAATAGTATTTTCAAATATATATTGCTTTAGAATGTGTGTAGTGAAGAGCAAATACGTGGATTTATTTTTTATTTGATGAGTTGCAGGTTTATATCTGAGGTGGTTATTCATATAACCATTCCTATTACTCCAGCATGATATAAATTTTCTACATGTCCATATGCTCTTTGTCCTCTTTGGATTATGTTCTATAAAGTTGTCCATATTGTCACTCATATAAAACAAGATCTTCAATGCACTTTCACTATCCCTTACCTGTTACCCATGGGGATCTTATCAAGACTTTCAATTCTTGGCTTTTTTGGACATGCTTTCACTTCCTCTTTTCGTTGGTCTCTCAATTTGTTTTTTAAGATGATAAGAAATTTACAAAGGCATTTGGTCACGTGACATGACATATCTCTTACACCAGCCTCTCATTTGTTTCATTGGAAGTTTTCTACATATGGTTGTTTGCGTGTCAAGCTTTCAAAATTGCACGTTTTAGAGCATTTTAGCATGCCTTTCCACTTGCATGAACATTCAACTGGATACAAAATCCTGGACTTTCAAAAATTTGGTAACATTTCTTTATGGTCTCCTTACATCCTCACTTGCTCCTGAAAAAGTTTAATACCATTGTTGTTCCTTTGGGTTTATTCTTTGGAACTTTCATGCATGCATACATACAACATATCTTGATCACATGCATCCCTCACACCTCTTCATATCTCTCCAGGAGCTCACCACCCATTCTTCCTCCCAATTTCAGGCCCTCTTTTTAAAACCAAGTACACATCTTTCTTTCTTACATTGAGTCAAGTAGTGCTGTGCATACACACTTAAGTGTAGGGTCATTTGCTGGGGCAGGGGGAACCCACCAATGATGTAGGATAAAGAAAAGTGACTCTTCCTGCCTCAACAGCCATCACCTGCCAGGGCCTCAGGAACAACTCCCTCCTGCATGCTGGAATCTCTTAACTGGCTTGATCTTATGCAGGTCTTGAACAGCTGCCGTGAGTTCACATGTTCAATAGCCATACTCATTTCCCAGCATTCCTCTACCCTCTGGCTCTTTCCACTTCCTCTGCACAGTGACAGTCTCTGCACTAACACGGCAATAGGCAGCTTCTTTGATTGAAGCAGGGAGCAGAAGTAATTCATAGATAAAAACAAATATTTAGAAAGCCATTTGTCAACGTAACTGAAAGCACCCCAAGCAAGACCAAGTTCTCAGCACAAAGGAGATTTATTTTCTCCATCAGAGCAAAGGACAGGGAATAAGAGACAAAGACAGGAGAAAGAGAACAAGAGAGAAGGGAAGAGGAATAAGGAGGGGAGAAAAGGGACAAGGGAGAGGGGGAAGGAATACTTACCGTAGAGGGACAAAAGACGGGCTCTGGAAGAGAGGAGACAGCCGTGGCAACTGGCAGTTTTTAAAGAAAAATGGAGAAATTCTGTGTTAGGATGACATGCTTAATTTTGATTGGGAATATTAATTAGGGTAGTCAAAAGCCGGCGTTTGATTTCTGGACCTTAATACATTGATAGCTAGACCTTGGTGGTCAGCCTCAGGAGGAAGTAGTGGCCAAATAAGGTAAAAGACATTGGTGACTTGCTCTAAGGGTGTAATCTAATGACTTTTAGCTAGGAAGAAGAAATGGGGGAAGGGCAAGGCCTGCCAGAGCCATGTTTGCCATGCTTGGGCCTATTAGGGCCCCTTCAATGACCATTTACAAAAGAAATATCAGTAAGTTCTATAGTAGAGCCTATGCCCTCCCTAGCCATGGATTTTGACCATGTTTACAGTTTTAAGGTGTAAATTTCGTCCTGGGATCAGGCTTCAAATGCAATGAAGAGAGAAGTTGGTTACCCCACTTATAGTCTTGACAATATTGAACCAGTGTGAAATGGTTTTCTTTATTTTATTTTCTTCTATGGGTTTTTTTCAGTCTTTGAACTTTTACCATTTATTATCTCCCATTATTCCCGTAAATATTTCCTCTTCCCCATTTTTAAAAAAAATTTAGGACTATCGTTGGCTTTTATTGACTATTGTTGTGTAAACAAGATTTTGTAGGGAGACGAACACGCACATCTACTCACTCCAGATAGGAAGCCAGTGACAGACCAAAGTCCAGATACTATCAAACGTCAGCTTGGTGAACCAATGAGCTTGACTGAAGTTATTTACAGGAATGAGGGCGAGGGGTTATTTACAGGAGCAGAAAGGACTCAAGGACAGCTGCATCACCAACATCCACCCCAGGATGGGTGACAGTTCACAAAAGTGGGGAACCTGGAGCACACAGCACAGCCTGCAGGTATCTCAGCAGGTTAGAGAGTGTACTTTCCAAATGACTCAGTTGGTTTTAGACCTCTTCCAGGCATTTTGGTTGGTTTCTGCTTCTTCCAGGCAACTGGTCTGGCCTGAGTGTCTTACTTGTATCTTGGTTTGTCTGAAAGTGACTCTGGGCAGTCTTTATCATTTACCCTTGGGAGAGAAGCCCCTGGTGAATCTGGTCAGTTTCAGGAACTTCCTGGAACTCTTTAGTGTTGGTTATCTTCCAGCTTAAGGAGCTTTCCCTTCAGGATGGAAAGTTTCAACCTTGGAGGAAGCTGCTACACAACATCTACATATGTTCTACTTTTAAAATGACTTCCTCAAGCCAATCTCCCGGTTTGCTACTACGTTGAACTTACGAATCTCTGCTTCTAGGTGCCACCATTATCAATTTTCTCATACTTTTAAAGATTTTTTAATTTATAATTATATGCATATGTGTCTAAGAGGCCAGAAGAAGGTTTTGAATACTCTGGAGCTGAAACAATAAGCAGTTGTTGTTCAACAATAGCCCACCTGACATGGGTGCCAGGACTGAACTGAGTCCTTTGCAAGAGCAGGACTGGTTCTTAACAACTTAACCATCTCTCCAGCCTCAAATTATCATTTTTTTACCCTCAACATTTTATTTGATTCTTTCTATGACTCCTTTTATATTACTAATATGACCCCTTTACTGTGTGTGCAATTTTTTCACTATCACATTGGGGTGGGTAAACCCCACTTATATTTATCCGTTGATAAATTCAGTTGATCCTTGTTTAGTTTTATTTTCCACTCCAGCCACTACTTTTAAAGAATCTTTTTAAACTTTTATTCTTCTCTCATACATTACTTCCTGAGTTTCCCTTCCTTCCACACCTCCCAGTTCCTCCCTTCACACCCCCTCTTCCCCAGATTAACTCCTCCTGTGTTTACTCACCCCCCCAATAGTCCATCGCCTGGGGATATCCACAGAACATGTTCTAACAAGTTACAACAAAACTGGGTACAACCCCTTATATCCGGGCTGGATGACTCAACCCAGAAGGAGGAAAAGGTTGTTTGTAATTTCTTGACGTGTCGCTTTTAATACCTTCGATTTCTGTGGAATTGTTCTTTTCATTTGGAAACATTTGCTTCTTCTTTGAGCCAAGAGCTTCCACTTCTTAAAGTCAGTGATTGGTTCTGTTCAGCAACGATGATGGCAGAAGATGAAGGCAAGACTCCATTACACAGGTACCGAAGAGCTCAGGGTGGAGCTTGGGGATGGAAGATGAACCCAGAGTGAGGGCTGATAGGTTTTAGAAACCAGAAATGAGCACTCTTCACCCCACCAATCAACTCCTCAAATGTGCCCTTAGTAAAGAAAAACTTATAATCCACCAGCCTTGGAGGTTTAGGGGAGAGCATGAGGCAATGAGAAACGAAGGCTGATCCATCTGGTGTTTGCATTTCTCTCACTCAGGTACCAGGTCTCAGCATCACCCTGGCTTCATGCCTCAAGAGCCCTTGTTCACGAATTCTAGGTTCCAAGGCAATGGGGTTGAGAAGGAAGTGAGAGATGGAGACTTGGAGAAGCAAAAACAGCTGCAGTCCGGATACTCTCTGCTTTAAATCGGGACCATTCCAGATACATACACCCCACTGTCAAAAATAAATAAGATAAAAATGGTAATTTTTTTGTTTCTCTATGGTTCCTCAGATCCAGCAGGTCAGGCAAGCTCAGCCCCTTCAGAATCCCACCTTGCCTTTTCTTCTCATAGCTTGCACACTGTCTGCTCCCTTTTCCCCATGTGTCATGTAAAAAAAAAAAACTGAGTATTTTTGAGAAGGGCCATGCACCAAGTACTCATTGAGAAACATATGAGGTAAGTGCTCAGAAGAAAGAGGACGAGCACTAGTCAGAGGCCTCACTGTCCTCCTGGTCTCTGTCTGTCTCTGGACTAGTGGAGGAGCCTTAAACAAGACACTATCCTTGCTTGAGCCTCGGTGATCACTTCTGAAATGTCAAATTAGCAAGAACACCAGCGTAATTAGGGCGACAACAAGATTCAGATGCGAGCCGAGTGTGGAAGGACTTTGTCAAGTCTTGCGGTGCTCTTATCCATCAGCTGGGGGGAAAGGAGCCTTGGGCTAGATGAAGAGTGACTTTGCCAACTTCAGATTTTTACTAAGTGTTGGCCCTGCTCAAAAGCCTGATGCAACTGAACATTCTCTTAATATAGAGAATGACGAATCTGTGTTTGGTGCCAGGGTTGTCACATTCTTCCAAGAGTGCAGACTTTTATGGGTCCTTGGAAGCTCTGCCGGGCTCTATTTCTGAGGATGGGAACATTGTGCCTTGCTGGCAAGGCTTGTTAAACCGAGGCCACTTGTGGTCATTGAAGAATCTGGGTCTGTCTTTGTGACGCTGGGGAGAAGCTAAGGTATTAAAGCCGCTCCGCTGGTTTCCAGTTTGGATGCAGGGCTTCTGCGCAGTTTGGTGCCTTTGGCTTCCTTGTGTCATGAGGGTCTACTTCTTTTTCCAGTCTAGTTAAGGAATGAAAAGTAAAAGAAGGTGGAGCAGGTCCAAATCAAAGACAAGTAGCAGAGGTGGAAAGCAATAAGAATAATGTGTTCTCTGGGAATTTATGCAGGGACAAAGCTAATGAGACTTTGTTTTCAATAGCTCAGAATGTAGCTTGTCACTGGGAAGATGATGTAATGTCTTTAAAGCAGAAAACAAGCCAGAATCCTACACCATATCCAACTATTTGTATTTCTGCATATTCTTATCTATTTCTTGTCTTTTCATCATATGCATGCATAATGCATATTTCATTTTATGGCCTGATTTTTTTCACTTAACGTTACATAATGAGCACTTCCTTTTAAAGTTTGCATTATAATGCCTAGATAATATAATCTGCATGATGTTTTCTAACTAATAAAATCTTGCTCTCACTTTGAAACCTCCGAGTTGCCTTAAGTTCTCTCTCTCTCTCTCTCTTTTTTGGTGTTTGCTTTTTAAAAATTATGATTTCATGAAGATCTTTGTGCATTTTGCTTTCTGCATTGTTAAGCTCCATAACCTTTGCTTGGATCCCAGAATCCATTGAGGAGATGCCTGGGAAACTGTGCCCAGACATCTTATGACTTCCATACTGTTTTGTATATAAAAAAGTGTTAATTCAAAATTCTGCTAACCAACTTAACCTCAAGTCTTCCAAGTTTTCAGCTTGCTACGTAAAGGGTTTCTCTACTTTAATATGGAAACGCTTCAGATTTGTTTGCGCGTGTACTTTCTGCTTCACAGCAACGTCTGATGCTTTCCATGCGTCCTCACTTGCTTCTAGCTCGTGCTATTAACATTATAAAATAATCTGCCGTGGAATTTTAGAATTTTCGAAAGCTCCCAAGAAAATGCTCCCAAAAATCCCTCCTGCGGAACTCAAATTTCCAAATTAATAAACTAGAAGTGCTTTTGTGGCCCGAAAGCAAACTGTCCAGCAAATGTGTCTTTCATCTTCCAGGTTCCTTTCCTATCCGATTCATCTCGCCAGGAGTGGGTTGAGGGATATTGAAAGCAACATCAAGACGACCTCTCCGCCCCCCCACCATGTCAGAGTCTAGAAAGCTACTGACTCGAGAGTTACAGGATTCAAAAACTGCTCCTCGTTGTCAGAAAAGGAAAGAACGAGACTTGTGAATGTTTAGAGAATGGAGCAATCATGTCTCCAGCTCGGTTGGAGGAATGTGGAGAGTCAGGGAATGCTTCTGGGAAGAAACCATATCTGAGCTGGGTGAGCAGGACCTGAGGTAGACTCTATTTTAGGGCTGCTACGGGGCGGGGATGGGGTCGAAGCCTTTCACCTAGTTTATGTGAGGGAGCTCCTGGGATTTGGCTACGTCTTCTAAGTTACAGATTCTCTCACTCAGTGGGGAAATTGAGGCAGGCAGTGGCGGGAAGTTGGTGCTCACTGGTTCACAAGGAAGAGGCTCACACGTTAGGTATTGATTTTAGAAGCAAAGATGGCAGAAACAAAAATCTGGCTGGTTTTTCTAGTTCCCATAGTGTTAAGTGAACATTGTATATTTTGAAAAACTTAACATTTACTGTGAAGCTCCGTGGGTCATCCCACACCCACTCCCAACTCCACACAGAGATCAAGCCATGGTATTACTATCCTAGGATAGGCAGCAAAGGGCACTGATTACTGCAGGCAAATGGCCCTGAATCCTAGGTGCTCCAGGTACAGAAAATGGAATGGATCAACTCTGAGACTCTGAGAAGTCAAACACTGCCTGGGACATTCTATAGGTGATTAATAAAGTCAACTTCATGATTTAGCTAGAATAGCAGTGCCTTGGGCCCCCACAGCCAGGAAGGAAAAATGAAATCCGTGGCTGGTCCTACCCTCACCAAGCTGTCAGTCATGGGACAGAGATATTTTTTCCATTCTTAAATGGGAAATAGCACAAATCAGTACTGCGAGGGATGCTATCACCCACTGATACAAGGGAATGGATCTGATGAGAGTTTACCAGGGCCAGCCGGACTGGGACTGAACGAGGACGTGATCTAGCCAGATTCTCGGAATTTGGCCGGATTCTCTGATTGTGGCTGGCCCGGGGTCTTTCTGAAAAGCCATTGACTATGACACTGGGACCTGCTTCCTCTGCATATGCTGGATTTTGGGGATCCTGTCTGTTTGGACGCTCGCCTTCCTGGACCTGGAGGGAGGGGGAGGGAGCTGGAGCTTCCCACAGGGCAGGAAACCCTGACTGCCCTGGGGGACGGAGGGGAAGGAGGGGGGGAGTGGGGGGAGTGGGAGGGTGTTGGGAGGGGGGGCGGAAATGGAAACTTTTATAATTTAATA